AACCCATGATTTTAGAGCTTTTACTTTTGGCTTATTTTTCAGGAAAAAAACTGAGTTTATAAACTTTATTTGTTTGCCAAACATACATAATTTATATTTTCAGTTTAATTTTCAAAACATAAACATAAACTACAAAAAAAAAAAAAAAAAAAAAAAACTCTACCAAACTAGCTGAAAGCCTTTAGAATGTTAGGACGGACCATGGACGCCATGATACAAGTTTAGTAAGTCATAGAAGAACAAATATTTGAAAATGGACCAAAATAAGTTTTTAAAGAGATGAGTATTTTTATATAATTATCAACAACCCATATATAGTAAAGTTAAAGTATAATACAATTTAGCAAAATTTAATTCAACATATATGCATGAGACTATACAAATATGTTCTTCGTCCATAAGTGGGGTGAATATGTTGAGGTTTTTTATTTATAAAATGTATGCATGATTTCTTATTGGTGGGATGTAAGAGTGAAATTAGATTAGGTCATTTATCATGTGCCTAATACCTGATTAATGATAAGTTAGATTAAACATTTTTAATAAACAAATTAGATTGATGTTTCTCAAAAAGCCTATTTAACCTAGAATATGTCAAATACATATTTCTTAAAAAAATTATTAAGCTTAACAGGTCGGCCTATATAACTATATTATATATTTATATTAATTATTTTATAAAAAATATACGTTAAATAAATAAAAAATACATAAATCATATTTTTGGTATTGGGAATTTGAAATGTTAGATTTGTCAATTAAGACTAACTTATTAGCCAATTGATAGGCATATCTATTATCATATTTAAAAATATATTGGCTTATTTAAATATTTTGGATTATATGAGGCTTCTAAATAAAATAACATGTCATACCTAGGTTTACAAAAAAAAACTTAAAAAACAAACTAACCAAACTTAGGGTGCAATATATTAAACATATCGAGTCTATTTAAGTCAAGGTATGGCCTCACCTGTGTAAAAACTCAACCTCCTAAAATAAACAATTGAATCATCAAACATAACCTCATTCGTTGTCGACCTAAGACAAACATGACCATGAGAAAATAATGTAATTGTGACCACCTAAAGCCCCTAATGACCAAGGGTCCATTTATATATAAAATACAAACTTTATGACTTTATTTTGTATTATGTTTATTTTTTATAAATCTTATAGTAATTCTATTATGTTTCATATATTTATTCAAGATTTGGTTTGGTGGACATAGTTAATATTTTATGGCTCTCTGAAATTTAAAGCATAAATCAAATATTTTGTGTAAATTTGGTATTAAATTATTTATGAGCACATCTGTTGTCAAATAAAAGTGTATTACTACTATGTGTGTGATTGGTTGAATTCTTTTTAATAATTCTCATAAAAATAAAAAAAATAATAATTAAATATTTTTCTAATCAATAAAAAACATTGACACATTGAGTAGTACATTTTTTTTGGACATAAGATGTATACCCAATTACTCAATTGTTTATGTTGATCCACTTTAAGTAATATGTATTTAATTGGCTAAAAATGAGTTGTTAATATAATGTTGTAAGACCTGATCTCTATATATTATAGTAAGTCAAATGTCAAAAGTTTGATCCTAATAACGACACTTGTTGTGGGACAACAAAACATCCCAAAAAGATTAATAGATACTCGTCACTATACTACCAAAGTATTTAATTGCCGAACTATTAAGTCCAGCAGAATTAGATTTGTCACTTATAGCGTTGATATCCAACTGGAGCAAGATTACCTCTGTTTATAGGATGATACATAAGATTTAGACCAAAAAAGTTTCACATAATTAAAAGTTTTTGATATATTTGAGGCCTTTTTTAGAAACCAAACAACCACATATACCAGAACATTGGGAATAAAAAGAGCATGTTGATCAAAGAAAGCATATATTCACAACGTAATTTGGATATTAAACTCCCCCTCTTATTACACAGCGGATTTTGAATTTTACAAGTTAGTGAAACTTTAAAGAAACATTTAAGAAAAATAAAATATTTTTCGTACCTATATTCTAGAAGTGTGGAACATGAAGGGATGACAATATTGGCTTGGCTCGACGGGCTAACCCATTTTGATCGTCATTTCTGGCGGGCCAGCCTGGAAAATTTAGCTTAAAAGCCCATATTTAACCCAATTTTGAAGCCCGTTTTTTAGACGGGTCGGGCCGGGCTAGCCCGACGAGCCAACATTAATATTGTTTTACCATTTTAAGGTTACATGTGATTCCAATAATTAGTCAATTTAATATTGTTTTCCAACCGAACATTTTACACATACCGTGTGCAACCAATTTATTATTCATATATAACACATTTATGAGTAAATTACTTATCAATGTAATTTGTATGATATACAATACAAAACATTTACATATCAGTGTTTAATTTATATCATATATCATATTTTGTTTAACTTAATTACATATATCACTTTTTTGTTTAAAAAATTACATCTCTCATAAATGGTTGATCAATGTAATGTATATTTATAAATTAAGGGTTTTTGTATGTGTATAAAATGGAAGGATAGTTTGTGTAATTTCACTAAAACTCATGGAATATCAGTGTAATTTAAATGTGTTTTTTAAATGAAAAATAAAAACGGGCCAGTCCGCTGTGCCTGCCAACCCTGCCAAATATGGGTCGGACTAGCATTTTGAGCCCTTTTAGCAATAAGGGTCGGACCAACCTAGCCCATATTTTGGCGGGCCAAAGACGGGTCGGGTCGGGCTAGCCCATTTTGCCACCCCTAGGAACATCAGTGGTTCAAATTATATGAATATGTCTGTAGTTTTTGTCTCCTATTGAAAATACTGCGAGTCTTTCTGATGTTTCAAATAACAAATAGTGCCAACCATAAATATGTAATCTGAAATTCACTACGAGATGGCTAAATTGTGAGAACAATAAATCTTAGTCACACGGTTGATTAAAATTAAAAGTTAGTTAATAATCAGATGATCGCTTAAAAAAGTCAGGCTTTATTTTTTAGTCTTGAAAATTCAAAAAAATTCAATAATACATATTAATTATTCTCATTTTTTACATTAACAATTGTTCTAACCCGACACACTTCTAGACATACATATACATGTAAATAATATTTATTACATGAACTTTAATTGGTAACTTCATCTATATGTATTAGCGTGTCGACAGACACTTTGTGCATGCCGACCCATATTCTTATTTTTCAGTATTGAGTATTTCATTCTAGAGAATTATATCACTTTTTTTTTGTATTGATACATGGTATTATGATTTATGTAATAGAAAAATATGAAAATAAATTGTGATATTATTAAAACTTATATTAAAAATTGTATTGGTGGTTTGATATTTTGGTGTATGTAACTTCTTTTAACTTTCTTTAATATATTTTTATTGCGTGAAAAATAATGTAATAATAGTTAATTAGAAGGGCAAAATAGCCAAGGAAAAATTACACCATATAAGCAGTTATAAGATATTTTGGCTTTACATATAGTAAGTATAGAATTATATATATCTATAACTCACCAACGCTCTTTAGGACTTTAAATGTATGCTAATGAACATCATAAATCATCACAATAAATTTGAACATGTTAACCCGCTTGAAAATTCATGAACTTTAATTAAATCGAACTTGAGATATAAAAATAGTTCAAAATTGAAATCAACTCGAATCAAGTCAATTCTTAACGAGTCGAGTTGAATCGAATCAAGTTCGACTCGACTCAACTCATTTCCACCCCTATCACAACCCTAGTAACAACTTAGGAAGAAATAACACTTTTTTTATCTTGTAGAGAACCATGGTAACACTTTGGTATAATATGTACTACTATAAAAGTGTTTTAAATTGCACTTCGCAATTACGACCATAATATTGTAGGTTTGAAAGTCTTTTCACTCAACATCACAATCAGGATTGTGATCCCATTGTTATATTTTCTTACCATTATAGTAAATACAACACAACCACTTACAATTTAAAACATGATATATTTTGGAATGCATTTGTATGATACTTAGAACTCATGTTTAGTCACTTTAACGATAAGTATTTGGATTGAAGGCTATTCAAATCTTAGTTAATAATCCCAAGAATAGGAGAGATAACAAAACTATTCCATTTTGTAAAAAACTGTTATATTTAAATCAATTAATAATCACATAAAATGAGGATAACCAAACTGTTCCATTTTGGATAGGAATGTGCTAAGCATCTACTACTTAAAACTCCTATTTGGTTGTTACGTTGAATATTAGGTATTTGTGTACGACCTGACCTAGAGAAAAATATGTATATTCTGATAGTATAAGAGATTTTTATATTGTCATTTCATCATCCACCATTTATTTTTAACTAACATTCACTCTTAAATAAAGTAATACAAGTAAACTGTGAATGATATATTTTCTGTGTATAAATCTTCAGTGTTACTGTATAGATATTACAAAATTTTAGTTGAAGTTTTTCCTTATATGAATGTGATGATCAAAGGAGGATAACCAAACTGCTCCATTATTGTAGAAAAACTAAAGCATTACTACCTTAAAGTTTGACCCTGTATGAATGTGTTGGTTATATTTCTAGTTTAGAATTTCTTATAATCATCTATAATCCACTACACCAATCCTCAACAATTAAACAAGTATACATATATATAAAAAATTCAACAATTTATTTTTTCTGAGAACAAAATCCATCTTCAAAAATAAATATTTAACTTTTAAACACAAGGCTTTTAAGTTTTTTAAAGGGCACAAGCCTTTTAATAAGTTGCTACCATGTATTCTTAATAAAATTTTCAAACTATCAAAGCAATAGCAATGAAATTTGTACAAATAAATCGGAATAATAAAAGTCACCCCTTTATGTTTATGATAATTTCTTGAGATTGAAATTTTTTATTTGAATTAAGAAAAAAGGTTATCTACAAATATTAACTCATCTAGTATGGTTAACATCAACAAATATATGGCAAAACAAGACATATCTCTGACATTATTTTTGAGATTGTGCAGAGTGTTACAACAAGATATGGGTATGAATTTACCTGGTGAGGAAGGAATGAAATCCATATCTACAATGTAGTTACTTTTGTGGAGTTGGTTCTGGCCAATCAACTTGTTGAAAACTAGTATTACAAAGAAATAAAATACAAGACAAAAGCTGTCAATGTCATGGATGGGCTTGCCTCAAGGTACCCTACACTTTGGGGTCTGTTTGTGAGTTGGTTTTTGGGGTAATCGAGGGAAGAGAAAGGCTTGTGTGCCATGAAATACAGTTTCACATGGCTCTAAAGCCTTCCATTTCCCTTCATTCACCTCCAAAACCCAACTCGCAAACAGACTCTGAAGCGTTGGAGCCTCGGGTGAATGGTTTGGCACCTTAGGCATGCTTTTAACAAATGTGATTTTGGAAGGTGTAAGTATTCTAGATAAACCAAGGTATGTCATCCTTTCCTCCGGATCCATCTGACCAAGTTTGATGTAAGTGCATCCAGGTAAGCTCATCTGGTGCATCAACCTATTAATAGGTAACAAAAATTGTTCATGTAAAATGTACAAGTAAAAAAGGAGCAGAAATTTGTAGAGATTGAGTACAAAGTTCACCTTTGAGCTCATAAAAACCTTTGTTGAACAACACTGTGATACATTCCCTGATTTTGGACAACAGGGTACAAATTTAGTCAGTCCAAGAAGAGCAAGTAATAAAAATGGATTCAAAGAACCATTGTCTGAAAGGGATGAGAACTTGCAGATATTTACCAACCACTCATAGATTAGTAGCATAAAGTAGAATGCAATTGAGCAAAACTAAAAAGTAAGAAGGGGAAAATCAGCATACTACAATGAATTAGGCAATTTATGAACAGCTGTGAATCTAAGACCAAGAAAAACTACATGGGAAATCATTAAAAAAGACTTAAAGCTAAATGACCTTTTTGATTACATGGTTTATGACATCAAATAATAGCGTCGTTCATCTATATAGCAGATTCCACCTAGTGAGAAAAGGTTTTGGTTGTTGTATGACAATTGATCATATGTGAACATAGCAATCACTCATACAATCGATCATTCGCATCAGCGAATCAAATAATTTTTTGTAGAATAAGCACTGCACATTTGTTGGGAAATTCAGAACCAATTTCCCTCATCTGTGTAATGCAAAATGGACACTTGCGGAAGCGGCAAGTGAATAAAGAAAATAGAGAATAGTAGAAGAATGACACCAAGAATTTTAACGTGGAAAAACCTCCTCAATGTGAGAAGGAAACAACCACGTGACCTAGTCCAAAAAATATCTCCACTATAGAAAAGTAGGATTACAATATTTGACTCTCTCTTACAAAGAGGATAACACTCAATCTCACCCAAAAGGATGGAAATACAAACTCTCTCTAGTATCTCACTAGGAATACAAAACTCACACTAATGTGGATATAAGCTCTCTCACACTTTCTCTCTATGTTGCTTTTTCTCACTTGCTTGTGTATTTCTCCCTCACAAGTTCCCTTTATATAGTGAATGGAATAAAGGCTTCATCATAAAGATATAGTGGAGGATTAATTGTTATCATACTTTCAAAATACCTTGAAAATGCTATTCCAACTTTCTAAGTTGCACTTCATGGTTCTCAAGAGTCGGAAGTAATTCCAAGACTTACTCCAACTTTCTAAGTTGCACTTCATGGTTTTCAAGAGTTAATGAGTAATTCCAAGACTTACTCCAACTTTCTAAGTTGCACTTCATGGTTCTCAAGAGTCAAGGAGTAATTCCAAGACTTACTCAAACTTTCTAAGTTAGGCTTCATACTTTCCAATAGTCATTGGAAGAGTTATCATACAATGGTTCATCTACTAAGTTGCATTGGTTATACTTCCACATCAATTAGGAAGGATTCCCAACAACATTCTTCTAATCTAATGCAATTTGGTTATGGCACTTCTCAAACAGTGATCAGTTGATAATTATGGATGTTGATTGGAAACCCAACGATAAATGAGCTGTAGGCTATTGTAGTCTATCTTTTCAATCTATATATTAGATATGAACTAGTAACTAGTAATCTAGCAAGTTCCAGTTTTTAATTAGTAATGTGAGAAGCTAATTTCTTTTAGACACTTGAAATAAATTGAGGCTCATGAAATGGAATCTCTTTCAATTTTGCTTTGTTCCATTACTCCTAACCATGAGAGAATCTGGGTACCGGATTCTGCAGGTGTATTTCACTTTCTATAAGCCAGCAATAATACTGATACAAGAGGAAGGCTGATCCAGACTAACCTACACCAAAAAGAAAGGGTCTCCAAATTGATACAACAACAACAACCAAGCCTATATTCCACTAGGTGGGGTCGGCTACATGGATCGAACGATGTCATAATGTTCTATCATAAATTAAAATGGTACAACACGGGGACTTCCCAGGATGTCACTCATCCTAGTACAACTCTCGCCCAAGCACATTTAACAGCGGAGTTCTGATGGGATCCGGTGCATTAGTGTTGGTATGATCGACGGCCTCCAAAAACTCTAATCTTAACACAGGAACTTTCAGTATTCCTACAAGCTAAAACACTAATGTTCAACAAAAAGTCATGAAGGAAACAGAGATGCAAATCAATTTTAAAAAATAACAGAATAAGCTCAAGGCTATTGAACTAAATTACCAAACAAATCTCACCAGATGATTCCCACTTGTCAAATTTGACCAGCCATGAGCCCAAACTGACCTCTGCAAAAGACACACGATCAACCCAAACATGAAAGTCTATGCCTCGCTTGTCTCCAAAAAGATTTACTAAGGTATCTATACTTTGGTGCATAGGTTGATCGACTCCTGAGGGATGGACAAAATTTCCTGTAGGATGCTAAACAGAAGCAAAAATTAGTGGAAAAATAATTTGAACCTCTCCATGTTTTCAAAATCCACTTAAAAGGCCACTTTCTTTCGCGTATTAAAAATGACACCCATCAATTAAATTTTCATTGAAGCACATGGAAAATAATATAATGTTCTTAAAATTAAGGAGAGATAAAACTCAGCACTTCATAGACCACATATCAAGCATAACTTCATATTTTGGGTTCTTCTTTTGACTCTTAAACTATGACTTAAACAAAAATATTGGTCAGAGCCACCAACAACTATAGAAATCATTTCAGTTTTCATGCACACAAGAGATTCAGCTCTGGCCAGGGGCATATCAATGATTCCCACCCAATATTAACAGTTCATTTTAAAACATAAAATTTGAATAAACTTACAAAGATTGATCTTAAAATTTGTATATACTGCTCAGAATTCTCAACTTCTCCACGCCTCCATCTCTCATAAAATAAGTAAAACATTACTACTTCATGGCCAGGACTAAGATTTTTCCTTTTGAACATTGAGTCACTAATATCTCTTGGAGATACATTTCGACCTAGAGAGAAGTTGACAATGGCTTGCATAATACCGGCTGCACATCTCTCAGTTGCATGAATAATTTGGGCATTACCCCTCGCATTTTCGGCATACCATTGAACCAATTCTTCCTGTGCGTTACTGACCTGAAAATGCAATAGTTGAATGATAAAGTAAAATCACAATAAGCAAACAAAACAGATAAATAGTGAATTTAGTAATTCTTTTAATTATACGAACCAAGACACCATAAACTTCAGGTACTGTGAATAGTTCTGCATCATTTCCAGAATCGCCACAAACAAGAGTGTTGATTGGTATTAGTCCACCAGCCTTCAATTTTTCAAGTAAAAATTTGAGGGCCTGTCCTTTCCCAGCAGCTTTGGGTAATATATCCAAAGCAATACCATTGCTATAAATTATTTTCACATCTAACTGCAAAAGAAAGGAGAAACAACAGATTAGAACACCTCCAACTATAATGTAAAAGCTTTGAAATGAAGTAAACAAATTTCTGCCAATAAGATTGTTTATGAACAATAATCTCACCCCACGTTTTTCCAAACATTTTGATAGAGCTTGCATGACTTTTGAGGCCTTCCCTTTCTCCAAATAAAAGCTAATCTTTTGAGGCCGTTGCTCTGTTTCTGACTGCAGTTACTCCATAAAATGAATATCAAAGCTCTTGAAAAGCAATTATTAGAGTTCAGTTAAGATCATCACCCTAAGCATGAAGCAATATACAAGAATGCTGATAAATGATAAGTATCTTAAGTTTTTACCAAATAACAGATTCATATGGCCCCATATACATACTTGAAGAGTTAGTTCTGGAAACTTGGCGGTTTCCTCCATAACTGTTTCTCTATTCCAGTTATGATCCAGATACTGTTTCCACCTGTCATCTGGTACCATTGATTCACCATATGTAATCTCAGTTCCCACTGACATAATTGTTATATCAGGAGTCAGCAGCGGTTTCTGCTTCCTTAACTCTCCATAAATAGTAGGTGATCTCCCAGTGGAGTAAACTAGCAGAGAGTTATGACGATAGTGAGCCTCCCACAGCGCATTGAACCTAAGAAGTGCAAGGTTTTCTGGATCATCATGGTCTACCTGCAAAGGTACATGCAGGGTTCACAAAAAAATTTCCAAGCATCATGCCAAAGTCAGATCATTATTATGATATGTACCATTGTGAAATCAAGATCTGAAACAATCATGAGATCGGCAGGACCATTGAGTCGATCCATACGTTTTAATTTCTTTTCCACCAATGGAAATCCCCAAAAAGTTTACTTTGTAAAAATCTTCGCTAGTATGCACCTGCACATTTTCCACTAGCTTAGGTTCAAAATAATGTTAGTTCAGAGTTATATGCTCTCTTATTTATGAGCACACCCAGCTCTAGAATATAATGCATCAGAGTTAACAGAAAAAAAGATCAAAATCTAAACTAAAAGAAAGCAAATTCCAATTCACGTAGAAGAATCATATCATTCACATAAAGCTGTCACAAAACAATATGAAAACTTACCCAGAATTGCTAAGTAAAACATAGACATTAAAGCCCAATTTATACTAATAATCTAGGCCAACTGATCAAGTACAAGTGAAGTGAACATAGTACAAGGGTCATCCAATAAAGCAATAATAATATTTATTAGAGAAGAATCCCATTATAAGTTAACACAAAAAAAGACATAACTAACAGTTTAGTGTAATAAGGTGAAACTACAAATTTTACCCTAGCTCCTTCAACTGGGTTTAGGATATGAAATATCTCAAAAAGAAAAATTAATTCAGAATTTCAGACCTAAAACATGCTATTAATTTAACTCTCCCAAAACACAAATTAGTAATTAATAACAATATAGAAAGAAAGAGAGACAAAGTTGTAGATATACATGACCCAGACACACATTAACATGATTATTTCAAAAGAAATGATATATTAATTGATTATTTTGCAACTGAAAACTTTAAACAAACATCAATTTGCATGCATAAGGGAGGGGAAGTTGTTAGGACTAAAGCATATAAGGAGAGCTCAACCAAAAGACTAGTCTATTAGGTGGAAGAGTTTTGTGGCTTAAGTATCACATTGAGTTTTCTATGCTACCCAATGTGAGACTTCTAACATTGCCGCCCCTTTGAAGACTGATATTCACGACAACTTTCACTCTATCTACACTGTCCCAATGGTAGCACTTTTCTCTTATCGGTAAGTATTCGGTAATATAC